GGGCACCCCGGGCACCGGCCTCTGCAGACCTGCGGCTTCATTTCCAGGCGTTGTTTTCTGCACAGAGCTGAATCTCGCCCTCCAGACCGCGGCGCCGGCCCAGCTCGAGGGCGCGGCAGGGCACCCAGGCCGCCAGGGCGTGGGGCCGTGCCCAGGGTCACCCCCGGGACCTCCCTGAGGGGCCTCAGTGGGAAGCTCGACCGGGGTGCAGGTGGTGCACACGGAGCTCTGTGAGGAGACGGCCCCCGGGCCAGCTGTCTCGGAGGCCCCAACGAGCATCCGCGAGCATCCGCTAACCGACAGCAGCCGCCCACGGGGAAGCCTGCGGTCAACCAGCCCCCCCGGCCTCGGTCCCCCCAGCGGGACAGGAGCAGCCACCCTGACCCACACCGGCACGTGCCACCCCCGTGGCAGGTCTGGGGGGCCACGGGGACCCCAAGACTTCCAGCACAGATGCTTCCACGGGGAGATGCTTCATTTACAGGGGAGACTGACAGAACAGGGGGCAGGACCATGCAAGCGTGGGAAGCTAGGGCCCGTGGCATGAAGCAGCCACGCCCTCCCTCAGCACTGTCGGGGTCTTATGGGAATCCCCACACCTCGTGTGTTCGCTTTTCAGCCAGCCTGCGCCCTCCGCCTGGCATGTGGCGCTATGTTGTCCGGAACGAAAGGTTGCCCGGGGAAGAGAGGGCACTGTCGCGGAGCGCCAGTCCGGACCTGGGCCCCGGGCGGCGGGGGGACGGGTCTCCCTCTTGGACACGGCACTCCCTCGGTGTGCGGGCACTGTCCGCTGTCGGGGACCACAGGCCCGAGGGGAAGCGTCCTCCCGGCCATCGCTTGTGGTTAATTTCCAGTGCAGGTGCGGGGACATGTCTGTAAAGTTCATAGAACAGGTTGATCACGGCAACACAAGTCCTAACCACAAAACAATCAGGGCAAAGGACAGGCGGCCACAGAGGCCTTCGAAGCCCCCGGAGGCGGTGCTGGGCGGCGGGAGGGAGCCAGGCGGTTTCCACACAGGCGGTTCCCAGGGGCCTGCCTGGCCTCCTGCCGGCCGGCCGGGGGGCGGGGGGGCAGCACCAGGGACTCTCCGAGTGCCCAAACCCGTCCTCCGCGAGGCCGGGGCGGGACAGCGCCGGGGTCTCTCCGAGTGCCCAAACCCGTCCTCCGCGAGGCCGGGGCGGGACAGCGCCGGGGTCTCTCCGAGTGCCCAAACCCGTCCTCCGCGAGGCCGGGGCGGGACAGCGCCGGGGTCTCTCCGAGTGCCCAAATCCGTCCCCCGTGAGTGCGGCTCCAGTGCAGTATTTGCCGCCAGACGGGTAGCAAACACTTACCAAAGCCTTGTGGCCTGACCCAGCTCAGCCCGTGCAGGCAGCTGGGCTGCGTCCCCTCGAAGGCTGTCCACAGCGCGTGGCGTCCACCAGCCCGGCAGCGGGGGCCGGGCGGGGGCACCCAGCCCTTCACTGCTGAACACAAAGGTCGTGTGTGTGTGTGGGGGGTCACCCTGCTGCACTGGCCAGGGCGAATGAGGCAGCTTCGCTGCCGGGCGCCCAGGCGGAGAGGTGACCCAAGGCCGTCGTCGTGCACAAGGACAGAGTGCCAGTGCCGAACCCACAGCACTGGGCCTGCACAGAGGCGCGGTCTTCGTGGAACACGGTCTGCTGCTCAGCGTCGACGCTGCGCTGATGTGGAGGTGCCAGGTCAAGGCATCCCGACGTCAGGGTGCCACCGCCGGCGGCTGGCACCTGGGCAGACAGCAGGACGCCTGTGGAACGGCCGGCCGCTCTCGGGGCCCTGGCTGGAAGAGAAGCTGTCCCCTCCGGGCACTGCCTATTAGAAACGCCCAGATTTCAGACACAGCCACACGGGGAACCAAAGAGCCCCACGGCACCCCGCGATGTGGCAAGATGCTTTATTTCTGGCTTCCCAGCACTAGCCAGGCCAGAGATTTCCTTGACAAGCAGCCGTGCCGCTCACAGCACCGAGGGCCCACCGCAGCGACATGTGCCCACTCCCCATCGGCCGGGACCGGCCTGGCAGGACAGTGCAGCCCGAGAGGCCGCGTGGCCTCTCTGGATCCTGGCGGGGCGGCGGGGCCTCTCCAGCGCCCCAGCTTGCCTCTCTGGGCTCCAGCGGGCCTTTCGGAACCAGCTCAGGTTGGCAGACTCCGAGATGGCCGCTAAGAGCTGCAGCCATCACCACATGGGGACAGCAGCGTCCAGCCGAAGGGGTGGCCCGATGCCGGCCGGGGTGACGGCCCGCATTCTCACATCTGCTGAACTCGTGCTGTGGCCGGTAGAGTCTCCGTCTTTGGAGGGCCTCCCTGAGCGGCCGGTCAGAGGCGAGGCCACAGGAGGCCCCTGCAGGGCATCTCGGGCTGGCCAGGCCACAGCACCCTGCCCAGCTGCATTGTGACCCCAGAGCAGGGCCCCCCCAAGCCCACTGCGTGAGCCAAGGAACCACCCAGACTGGAGGGACTTCACGCAGGGTCTTGGGGATGACCCCTCCCAGGGGTAAGGTGGGGGCCGTTGCTGCTGGCTGGGTGCAGGCTCCACCTGGCAGTGCCCCCAGCAGGCAGGCACCCCAGGGCTGCTCCTGCACAGGGGCTGGGCCATCTCGCCCTGCCGCCCTAGTGGCCAGGGGACAGGGGGTCTGGTTCTTCCTCCCAGAGCCCTCTGCATTACTGACTTGGGGAACAGCTGGGCTGATGTCAGAGCTGGGGTCCGAGTGACCTCTGGAGTCACCATGGCAGAAGCCAGAGCGGCCAGGAGGTGTCTCCTGACCCAGTCCTTGCCCCTTCCATGGGGTTCTCCCTTGCAGAGCCTGGCTGGGCAGACTGCCACACAGCACAGGGGCAGCGGGCAGGGGCAGGGGCAGCACGGGAGGCCTCGCCTGGGATGTCCACCCCTCTCGCGGCCCTTTCATAGGCAATTCGGAATCCGGTGTCCGCAGCGCAGGACAGGACCGCACGCTCCGCGGATTCGCGGATTCGCGGCGGGCGCGACCCTGGAGAAGGCCGGTAGGGTGGGGCCGCCGCAGACACGGCGCCGGCGGGGCCCCCGGGGTGTCGAGTGCCGTCCCCGTGCCTGCACCTCAGCCGGGCTTGCGCCGCTGCCTGTCGGCCCGCGCAGAGCCGGGAGCCCCGCCGCGGGCTCCGG